TCTGTTCAGCCTAGAGAAGAGCAGACTGAACAGGGATCTTGTCAATGCTTCTAAATACCTTAAGGGTGGGTGTCAAGAGGATGGGGCCAGACTCTTTTCAGTGGTGCCCAGCGACAGGTTAAGGGGCAACGGGCACAAACTGAAACTCAGGAAGTTCCACCTGAATACGAGAACTTCTGTACTTTCAGGGTGGCAGAGCAGTGGAACAGGCTGCCCAGAGAGGTTGTGGAGTCTCCTTCTCTGGAGATATTCAAAACCCGCCTGAACATGATCCTGTGCAACTTGGTGTAGGTGACCCTGCTTTGGCAAGGGCAGTGGACTAGATGATCTCCAGAGGTCCCTTCCAACCCTGACCATTCTGTCATTCTGCGACACCAGCAAGGTACTTATTCAAACATTATTGCAGGACACAATGAAGATCAGGCACTTTATCATTATGGGTATAGCATAGATGAGATGGATTGCCTCAGCATTAGCTAACCCCTTTATTTTTATACCAGCAGAAATTCCTTCTGAGGAAAGGAATCCACAGTAAACCCATATTTTGCCAGGTAAGATCATCACACCCAAAACCATACGTACCTACAATTTCTTCCTCTGAAAGACCACTCATGCATTTTGAAAAAAAAGTTATTTATTCTCACTGCTTTAATCTCTCTACTGTAGTGTTAGGACTTAACATAAGCATCCGCTCTTCTACTGTCCTATTTACAATCCATTGAAATGTATACTCTACAAATACAATACATATTTTCAGAAATGTAAGGGAAATGCACATTTTTGTAAGGTTTAAAAAAGTGACACTCATCTGTACAGGATTCTCAAATCATCCAAAAGTAAAATTTACAAGGCAGTATCCACACAGCTATGTAAGGGCAGGTGCTACAGTGACAAAGCAGCAAACTTGCTAATACAATAAAATACAGAAAATTAAAAGTGTTTTGGGGCACCAGATAATACATTTAGTACCGCGGACGTTGTAAATTTAGTAACACCCATATTTCTAGAAACATGTAACTGCAAACCTGGAGAATGTTCTGAAAAGTATTAAACATTATATACACATGAGGTAAATGTACCTTGGTCTTTTAAGAGGTAATTTGAGTTTAAAGCAACTGACATGGTGAAGTGTGTGTTTTGTTTTTTTTAAAACACAAATGATTAACAACTTGCAATCTTTTCAATGGCACAATATAAACAAGGAACTAACTAAAAGGTGAATTTCATGGCAATCACACTCAGAACCATTACTGAAAAAAACAAAAAATAGCCTCATTTAATTTGACACCTTCATGTCCCCATACAGTCAATCTCAATGTCTTTACCTATATACAAAGTCTTTCTTAGGATTACAAGTGGAACCATTGGAGGATGACAGTGTGTCATACTTGGAAAATCAGTTTGAGAAACATCCCAGAATTCCAGCTTTTAAGGTTGGAAGGTCCCTGAAGAATTCCAGCATTCCAAAAACAACGTTTCAAGCTTTTCAGCATCAGATCATTTCCAATGCTCCTTATCTTGCATGTCCATATCCACCTGGTCACAAGTCTGTAAACCAAACTGAGGCTCTTCAATGTTACTAAAATGTCAAATTGATTAAATCCACAAAACTTAAGTGAATGTATAATGTATGTAGTATTTACAATAAACATTTGCATCAGTATTTATCAGAAACTGTTTTGGTATATACTTGAAATGATACAAAATTAATATTTTGAATGCTAAAATATTTTGGTCCCCCTGGATTTCCAAGAGCAGATATGGTGATATTACAATCTTAATTTAAAAAATACTTATGTGTACCTGTGTCCATATATATAAGATATGATCTTACACAGGTAACATTTAAAGTTACATAATATATACAGACACAGCCTTTGTAAAAGGTGTTCACTTTATATAATGGAAAAGAAGAACAAAGCTTGAAGTTGTGGTGTCAGAACTGAGGATACATATAGCTCTATTCAGCATTTTCCTGTTCTGCATTCCAATATGAATGATAAAGTTGTCCTAAAATAATGTTTCTAACGTCACACACTGTACCATGCATCCTTTGTGTGCTTTGTTTTTGCAAGCTTCTATTACAAAGTGAAAAATTGGAACAGTGCAAGAATGGTTGCTAGCAATTCAGGAGAATGAAGACTAGTAGGTGGTTGAGATGAGACAGATGTAACAAACCACTGTACAGCTGCCTGAATTATCTGCATGCCATGATGCTGTTCAGCTGCCATAGATTCTCTTTTAAATGCAAGAGAACTGCTCCTTATATTTTAGGAAACTAAATGTTATTGTGGTTATGTTTTGTAGGTGCTAAAAAGCGCCACTAATTAAATTACTTGATGAATTATATTGGACACTCTCTCACATTACCATCGAGATTACTATAAAGATCTGAAGCATGCCAGTAGCCTGATGATTCTGAAGTAGGAACTATACCATTTCTATCTACAGTAAAGATCCAGTTACACCTATGAAAAACTCGAAATTTAACAAAGTTAAATTGTTTAAATAGGAAGCCTTTGAAATTAGTAGGGAAATATAGCAAGTTCTACTTTGATGCTGACCTGCTTTCTCTAAATACCTGTCTAGATACATAGAACTTGTTAGAGAGGCATGCTAAGTAGACAGACTTGGGATTTTAGTTATATTCAATCATTTTTTAGAGTCCTAATTGAAAAAAACTCTGTGGTGCACAGCTGTCCATTTGCACAAAGGCATAGTTTATTTAAAATACCTACATGAAGTCATTTTTGATCCAGCTTTGATTGATAGAGGCCTGAAGCACATAAGCCTGACTGATGAGATAAAGCCAAACAAACGTTAAGCATGACAGCTGTACGTATGTTTAAACACAATTGTTTTCTAAGAACTTCTCTTATTTTTTTCCTCTTCTCCTGGATGCCATCTTCCAGTATGAGTAAACTCATCCCTAAAGGTAGTTGAATAAAGCATTTCATTATTTGCAGTTCAACTTCTGAAGGTCTGTAATTCCCCCATCAAACCTATCTCCAAGCAAACACTAAGAATTTGGAAATACGCAAGAGTTAGTGAAGTGCTAAGGTTTATCTTGACTAAGTCTTATGTCACCTATATAGCCTCTTCTTACTAGGACCCATCCATCCTACTACTTTAACTACCATGTATCACAGACAGGGAACACAATCTTGACTATGCTTCTGTTAGCAACCACCCTGCCACTGCTACTAGCTTTGTGAAAAACTCACTGGACTGTATGCTGAAGAATGAAAAGGAAGCAGAGTTAAGGTTGCCACGTGTGTTGCATAATAGGATGGATACTGGTGTGATCTGGAGAGGAAGAGGTTAGGTGGCATATTAATTACCAGGCACATTTACATACTGAAACACTACTGAGTGTTTTGGTCATTAATGAAGCCAAAGGTCAACCAGACTATTCCTAAAACTGCAATTAAAAAATATCCTGGAAACAGCAATTTTTAAAAGAGAATTTTCCATATTAATCCCCCAGTCACCTCCAGAAGTTGTATCTTTGGGCAGGAAGCAGTTCAATTTCTAAACAAGTTTGTGAAATTCTTGTGATATCCTTAAAATCTCAGGCAAATGTTGACTAAAGCCATGCATATTCTTCTGTGTTCTTAGGACAACACAAGCCACCGTAAGCTTTGTTCTTGTAACTATGAAGAGGATTGCTGGAATCCTCTGGTATTTGTATCCAAAGACCCACAGCTCACCACTTTCTGTAGCTCACCACTTTCTGTGTATGAGGCACACACAAAATATATGCACATAAAATTTATAAGCAGCTTTGAACTTTCTAGTACAAAAGCCCAAATAACTTCTCCCTAATCACAGGTGCACTTAATCCTTGTCTAATTGCAAATATTGTTCTTTGAGCCTTAAGACTCTGCAGAACTGCACAGAAAACATGCTTTTCATATTTGATTTAATGGAGTAAAATCTCTCTTAAAAACATCTTACTCCTGCTACTTTTCTGAAGTAGATAGGTACTTCAAGCATTTTAGAAGTACCACTTGATAAAAAAAATCTTACATATAATTATGACTCATGACTTGACAATTACAAAATATGACAGTGAATTAACTAGCTTACACTATCTAAAAGTCCTACAGTGGTTTAAAGTCAGGTTTTGGTAAAATTAAAGGTATTCCGTGAATTATGTACTCACTTGCTGAAACAAGCATGAATCAGATCTTACCTAGGCAAAGGAACACTTGAATTTTAACTTATATTTTTGAAACTGAAAAGTACCATACGCTTTGTATGCTCCTACTGTTTTGCATTAAAAGACTCAAAAGCGGCACTTACTGGTATAATACAATCTATTTTGAAGGCAATGTAATGTTCTGGAAAAGTGGAAAACACCCAGTAATCATGTATAAAGTATAGTTGCATAAATTATGTTCCCACAACTAAATGAGGTCAATTTGTAAGTCAAGGTAAGAGTCCAAAAGATATACTACCTTAATAGCTAGCAGAGTATACTCCAACAGTACATCCACAATCTGAATCAAAGAGCTGTGACAGTGATTCAGAATAGTCGATGTACCAGTCAGAAATAAAGTTGCTTCAATGCGCTCTAGAACAATATAGTGAACCAGTTCCATTTTAAGAGTGACCTCCTATTTTTAGCACAGTTAACTAGAAGTTAAGACCAGCTATCAACTTTCCAAATAAAAAAATTATAGGTTAATAAAAATAGAACTAGACTACACAATGTTTTGTAAGTAACCTGGGAAAGAGGTTCATAGTGCACAGAAAGGACCCAACTAGCACGTCCACAAAAATCCTAATAAGTGACGTTCCTATGAAGTACTAAAAGGCAGCAATATCCTTCTGTTCTCCCAATGAGGTAGAACAATTAACCTTCTTAACATGCCACTCTGGTGCAGATACGGATTTTTACAGTATTCTTCGGTAGCAAATCCAGGATTACATCTTTATCCCCTCCTGTTGACTAAGTTGCGATAATGTTTTCTTAATGCGCAAAGCTGTTAGCCTAGCAGCTCCGTTGGCATACCAGCATTCTCGCATAATTTTTGCCATTACTCGTAACACCTGCAAAGGAAAGACAAGTAAATTATATGTACCGCTATTTCAGTGTAACTCATGTAGCCTCTGTTCTGCTTAAGCCTCTTCATGCGTTTCTGAAGTCTATTACTGGTACTACAGCTGCATGGAAGAGTATGTTGTATAAAATACTCAAATTCTTACTTTATTTACAGAAAAATAAAATTCTTTAACACACTGGAGAGCAGAACTAGTATTTTTCAGTAGAATTTCAGCCCATGCAAAAATATTTTAATAAAAAATTAGTAGCTTGTAACTGTTTTCTGAATTTTCGCATTAGACAAAAATACACTCTTTTTTATTGTACCTCCAGTTAAGGAGTTAGTTCAATGTACAGCAATTCAGAAGTTTATCAGCTGTCTTCCTCAAAATGAAACTGTCATAACTCTGAAAGTGTCTGAAGTCTTTTTATCCTTCAAGTAGCCATTCTTTGAAATCTGTGAATGCTACTACACAAGAAACAGTGCAAATAACAAAAACTGATGATGACAAAGTAATAACTACATTCCAAGATTTTACACTCACAGCTGTATTACATTGAGCTGCTAAGTTTCCAGGATTGAATGGCAGCATTTAAAAAAAATGACTCTACAGCCTGTTGGTGTGTATCATTGCCTTTCTCTCCTACCTGTGTTCTCTTGCCCAATCTCTTATCTCAAGCCTTCACCCATGTATTCATTTCACATGTGCCACATCCCAGTTCCCTCTTCCATCTAAAATACATCATATCTTATCAATCTCTTATTCCTACTGTAGCCTACCGCAGCTATTCTCCTAAGCACTAAATCAGAAAGCATTGGTTCTAGCCCTAGTTAGGTTCCTAGATCAAGCAATATCAACAAAGTTGGCTGGCAAGTCTCAGCTTCCTAATAATTGTGTTCATTTTTCAGTAAGTGCATACATTACCAATTCTGAGACACACAAGGTACTAAGGCCACCACAGTTTCGGATGAAAATTCCTAAAGGCATTTACTATTTTGGCCAGTCTGTAGGATATTCCTTTACTACACGATGATTGGCCAAAGACTCCTGCATGAGTTAGTTCCAAGCAAGCATTCGCATGAGGCAGCACAGCACTGTTTAAGATACCATTTGTGTCCCAACAATCAGTATTGCTATGCTGGCAGAGTATTGAGCTGAAACTAGCAAGTCCACTTCTTGAAAGAGATAACTAGCTTAGTTGTAAACCAACTGGCACAGAGCTGATTAGCTTATTTATCTTTACTATCCCTGTTGTGGGTTAACCCCAGTAGGTAGCAAAGCCCCACACAGCCACTTGCTCCTCACACCCCAAAGTGGGATGGGGAAGAGAATCAGGAGGGCAAAAGTGAGAAAACTTGTGGGTTACGACAAAGACAGTTTAATAGGCAAAGAGGGAAAACCAAACCAAAACAAAGAAAAACAACTGATACAAAACCAATTGCTTACCACCATCTGACTGATACCTGGCCAGTCCCTGAACAGCAGCCCCTGGAAAACTACCCCCTCTCCAGTTTTATTGCTGAGCATGACATTGCACAGTATGGAATATCCCTCTGATCAATTTGGGTCAGCTGTCCCAGTTACATTCCCTCTCAGCCTCTTGTCCACCCCCAGCCTACTCAGAGTGAGAAATCGAGAAAACCTTGAAGCTTTGTAAGCACTGTTCAGCAATAGCTAAAACATCAGTGTGCTATCAAACTGTTTTGGTCAGAAATCCAAAACGCAGCACCATATAGGCTGCTGTGAAGAAAGTTAACTCAATCCCAGCCAGATGCAGTACAACCCCCAGTTGTGCAATTTATTTGTAATGATGCTTCCTACATAATATAATTCAGGCTAGCTTTAATTTACATTAGCCTCACCTATACTTTATAGGAAGATATCCTAGAATCCTCCACGCAGGGTTAGCCATTAGTTTTTGTAAAATTGCATTAAATATTAGCATATAACGAAGCATCAGTGATGACATTCAATAAAGCCACAATGATCAGAATGAAATTACGTTCTCCTAGAAGCAACCCTTCTCCCTTCAACAACAAGCACAATTTTTAAGCCATTGAAATCAATAAAAACTCTAGTGTCCGTTAAAGCAGCTTTAGCAAGGTTAGTTAATACCTCACAGCTCTGCCATCTGTTTGGAATATTGGGCCTTAACTTCTGCTCACACACAACTTTCCTCATTTCTTCAACAGAAGGATCTGAAGGAACGAGGTCATAGTATGGCAACTGGTAATCTTCATGGATTCCTGTAATAGGTTGAAAATAGCTTTATTTTATCTAACACTAAATTATATATTCTTCACTTTTTACTGTGTTCTTTATCAGTACCCTACCATTTTCTTTTTTGGTTTTCATTTTTAAAAGTTACATTACAATAACTGACAAATAAATTAAAAAAATAATCCTTAACCATACCTTGGGAGTGCTTACATTACCCTTGAAGAATTTTTAATTTTGAAATTTATATATTTGGAAAAGATGAAAGCTATGTCAAATCTTTCATATGCTATACTAAAGACAAACTTCTTGGAAGCATGTGATGTATAATAGCATGTTTTATTTAAAATAAGGTATGGATATTATCTGAACACATTCTAGCTAGCCCTTACTTGTGATGTTTGCCCCTTGTTCTCAAGGACATTTAACTTCACCCTTTTCTCCCCTCTGTATAAAGGTTTTAGAAAAAAATTAATACAGACAAGGATATTTCCTATTGTCTTCAACACGTATGGTTCACCAGTTTACAAAGAGGTCAAATAAACCAGTTACCATTTACAGGATTAACAATTAGAAAGTCTGAGACATACTGGCTATTACCTTGCACCATTTTTAGAGCAAACTGTTTACTCAAACTTATTCAGGTTCTATAAGTTACTTATAATTCCTCAGTATGTCCAATTTTGTAAAGATTGCCACATACCACCGATCGAACATCGCCGAGCTATTTCCCAAAACACTAATCCCATTGCATAGATGTCTGCTCGCTTGAATGACTCAAAGTGTTTCATATTTATGGAATCATCTAGAACTTCAGGTGCCATGTACCTATTTGCAATAAAAAAAGAAAACATTTAATTTCATAAATACTGTAGAGAAAGTTCAGTGCTACTGACCAGCTCAAAATCAAATTAAAATATTTATGTGGAAAAGGAGACAGACGAAAATCTGCTTCATTAAGGTTATCCAATCAAAGACATTTCAGCGCAAAGAGCATAAGAAGTAAACTGAGAGGAACAAGCAAAGCAATAGGGGGAATAAGTAAGATGTGAGACAACAAACAGAGCCATAGACCTGATAGACATGGGATAACAGAGACAACGACAAAGACCAAAAGTCTCCAGTTGCTAACTGCTGGGCTATTAAGAAACTCCAGGTATAGCTTTAGAGAGGACCAGTCTGGATGTTGTTGTCCACTTATTAGCAGTTACAAGAGGACACAAGAATTGTGGATATTCAAGGGAGGCCTGTGGGACTACGCAATGCTTATCAAGAAATGTTTAGGAGAAGGGTAACTGGGAGGAACAAAAGTGGGGCAATAGCTAGATAAAGAATATCAAAGGGGTCAGTTGCATAAATAGTTGCCAGTCACTATGCTTGTCTGACCAAACCCTGCAGCTGCTTACCGCAGTGTATCTTATCTTCTTATTAAATCCTATCTTTTTATGCAAGCTCACTCTCAACCCCACATGCACATGTGCTCTAAGGACTGCACGCCAGCAACTGGAGGCAGGCACGAGTGAATTCAGAGCTACCAACTGGAGTCAAATAAGGGATGAAGTTGTCCTTGGGCCTGGGGTGCCAGCAACTGGAGAGAAGGAGGGTCTCAGCAGCAGCAGCTGGAAGGGTAACTGCAGATCCTAAGAGCACGTATCTGGAGCTACTGTGGGAGGATCAGCATGAATTCTGGGTCAGCAACTGCAGTCAGACAGTAGGTGAAGGCACCTCTGGTGCCAGCAACTGGGGCACATGAGGGTTTCTGCTTCAGCCACTGAAGTAGGACCATGGGTCACAGGCTTCACATGCCTACAAGTACCAGCTACAGGGGAGAACTGGGATGAGAGAAGCCGATGAGCTGGCCTCTCAGCACCAGAGGGCATCACAGGTCATAAGGTCTATGTGCCTGGGTGCCAGATGCTGGCGTGGGCTGGAAGGTTTGTATTCTCCCTCAAGTCTGGCATGCATGGCAGATATGCATGGGTGTAATTCACTAGCAAACTTCAAGCTAGTCTAGCCAGCAAATAGGTGGCCCAGGCAGGGATGTTTGACAGGGGGAGGGCCTGCACTGGTATTCAAGGGAATCCATACACGTAGGTGTGCATATCAATACATGCATCTGTTTGCTACTGTGCATGCAGCCTGGCTGGTGAGTAGGAGATCTGTGGAGCACAGAAGAGGGCATTAGACACACCAAGGGTTTGAACTGATAGTTGGAGGATTCATAAACATGCATGGGCTTGTAAGGCTACATAAGGGAGCATGTGTTTTCACTAATGAAGTTCATTCCTGATCAGCTGAAAAGGAAGGAGACTTGGCTCTCTATACTTATATTTTATACAAGTTCTGACAGTGTTTTATGTGGGTGTTGAAGACAGCACATGGTGTGTAGCAATCTGTGTAATCAGCTCTGTCGCTATTGTATGTCTGTGTACACTCAGGCTCACTACTGGTTGAATCCCAAGCAGGAAAAGCAGCTGCCACATCCATGGGCCTGGGACAGACAGAGCCCCAGGCCTTTGGACACATCAGGCTGGGCTCCAGAGGCCAGGGAGGAGGAAACCCCAGCTCCTGGAATCTGCCAAGGTAGAGAAGCCACCTGTAACATCCCCAAACAAGACTAGAGAGGGAATAGAGATGAAGGGCTGGTTAAAAAACTAGCACTGTTAAGGATTCTTTGGGAACAAAGGCTCCCTACCATTGCAGTACCTGATTCTTCATCATACTGTCTGTAAGTCCCACCATAAACCACACCAGGCTTTTTTTTTTTTTTCTTTGAGCAGTAAACTCTATTTGGGTTACACATTAACAACTGTGCTCACAAGAAAAGTTTACTTTATCAACATCTCCTGCAACAGAAAAAAATCTGTGACAGACCTTCAACTGAGAAACAAGGACTGAAAACTGGTCACAGCATCCAAGTTTACCTTGTTTAGTGAACAGGCCTAATGTGGGAACATCAAGCAAAGTGTCAGTGTGGACTGCATTGTGAGAGTTACTGAGAGCAGCATCCCTGCTGGCTGCTGGAAAGAATGAATGGTATTTGCTGCATCAGTCAACATCAGCTGTAGCATTGCTCCCTCAATCTGGTATAGCTCTGGCAGCTAAATCCAATATGTAATGTTTAGCAGAGTTCAGTGTGTTTCTCCACATCACTGCATCAATCTCAAGCTGACATATTAATGAAGCAGGCAACAATACTAGGGCTTTGGAGAACACAGTTAACTGGTAAAAAAGCAACACACATAGAGTACTGGAATGGAATACCATGTCAGGCAATAGCTCAACCTCTGGAACAGCCACAAAAGCCTATGCACAATTTCATTTAATCAACATAATATTAGGATTTTCTTTTCTTAGTACCAGGGATGGTAGACAGAACACAAGACACTACTTAAAATAAGTTTCAGGACTATCAGACCTTTTAGAACTCTCTCCATATGACATACAAGGAAGCAAGGGCTATCAACAAAAGAGCAAAACCACAACCAGTAGTCCAGAACTTCAACAAGGGTTGCTGACATGAGAGTTCTCCTGAGCACTGTACAGGCAGATAAATTCCCCACAAGTGATAAATACAGAACAAGCAGCAAACAACTGTCTGAACAGGAACGTAAGGTTTACTTTGCCAGTATTTACTGAATGGAAGCAGAATCTTAAGTTTACATGTATCACAATCTTTGATATAGACAAGGCCAAATTATCAAAAACTTTTTAATCAAGAATGCAAGATTGTGGTGGGTGTTCTAATGCTTTCCAAGGTAATTTTGCATTATTGGATAATCTTTTTATGCTACTTCATGTACTTGACAGTATAGTGATCAACTCTGAGTCTAGTAGAAAGAATGTGATCTTAAGATCACATGGGGATGAGAAGAGTGATGGAGCTGGAAAAGCACCAAAGAGCCCAACTGTATTGCAAGACTGTCAGCCAGAATCACTTATACAAGCAGTGAGGAAGATTGTCTCAGTTTCTGTAAATCATCCCAAGGACAAGGGTTTTAGCAGAAAAGATCGTAAGAGGCCTGAATGTGGCAATGGAGCTGAATTCATACCCTCAAAAGAAAAAAATCCTCCCTCCCATATTTGACTTCCATTTAATTTATTGGCAAATTGACCTTACCATGATCCTCCATCAATGCATTTAGATTGGCTTTGGCTTCCATAACACAGAATGGTGACTGACTGCTCAAAAAGTCTGAGAGATTATTGCTGGAACAAGAGAGGCGAAAGGCAAGAAGGTCATCTAGTGCGGTTAGCAGATTAGCCGTTTCACGGCCATCAGACAAAAGGGAGAGAAACATGCATCTCCTTGTCAGCTTATATATTGGAAACACACTGCTATGTAGAGTAGTTTTCTCCAGAACCTAACTTTGACCTTCTGAACAAGGTCTGCAGCTCAGCACCCTCCAAGAATGAAAGGATAAGTCTACAGAGGAGTTTACGAATTACGTTAAGCATGGTCTTGCCAAACTGTTGGTGCCTGCTGACCTCTTCCCCCCACCCATTTTAATCCAACATCTCTGTATTGGCTGCCTAAATTTCTTGTACAACATTAGGGAGCTTGGTGTCATCAAACAGGCCCCATACACAACATCTCCCTTCACCAAGCCTGTTCTCCACAAACATAGCTAGAATTCTGCTCATATTTGGTTTACCTAAACTGCAGATAAGCACCCCTGTTAAGGTGGAATTCGCAGCCAAACTTTTTAAACACAGTCTACTTCAACTACCAAAATTAACAGTTGGGTCACACTTCTCAAAAAAAAAAAAAGAGAATGAGGTTTGTTTTTTGTGGGTTTTTTTTGTTTTTGTTTTTTTTTTTAAACTACCCTCAGGGAGTGAGAGAAGGATTCTATTTCCTTCTCTATTTAAAGCTCACATTCCCTGCTTTATGTTGCAGGCTGAGCTGTGAAAACACATGGTTCACACCCTCTGGTAAAGCTATTATTTTCTGTTCAGAGGCTTAAAGATTCATTCAGTCAGAGAGAAGGACTATCAGTCTCACTCAGCACCTAGATCACTCGCCCATGAGCAAGTCTTGCTGGCTCCCTAGACCATACATTTTTTTATAGCAGACAATCATTAGAAAAATATAAACTTAGCCAAATCTCCCTGAACTTGCACACAGAGCTTCCATGTGCAGAAGAGGTATCAGCAGTGGCAATCAATGGGAGTTAAAATTGTCATTGAACAGGTAAGATCTGACTTTATTATGAGAAATTAATCAGAGGTACAGAGTTACTTGGCTAAGAATGCACAAGAGGGAAGAAGAGGGGACCAAGCCTTTTATGAAAATGAACAATTTTCAGAGAGTTAGAAGTGACTAATGTCTTTAAAGTGGGAAAGAGAGTCCTGCTGCTACTGCCCACTGCAGCAAGCAAGTTACTACAGCTTTATCCTTGTGAAGAAGTATAAGGCAGATGAACAAGCAACTTAATGGCATCTATGCAAGAAGAGATCTTGTAAGCAGTATCTACAGACACAGCTGAAAGGATGCTTTCGCCAAAGACTAAAGAAAGCAACCGATTTGCACATCATTTTTCTCTGCATGTAGGTGTAGTAGAAAGTACTAAATCATACGTGGTATGCGCCCTGCACACAGCTAAGTTTGCAATAACAAATTCCAAAGCAGTCTGCTGTTTTACTACCAATGATTACTAGAGACTGAGAAGCAATAATGCCCAGTACTTTGTAATCTAGTAGTTCACAAAATAAATCTCATCTAAAAATACCACACAAATGGTCAAGTCGGCAAAGGACTAGTACGGCAGAGTTTAAAACAAAGTAATTTCTGTGATATAATTGTCAGCAAAATAAATTTTCAGTACATGTTCTAAAAGTTTTTATTCATAGAGCCTTAAAAAAGGAGTTTTTTTGTAGTTTTTTGTTTTGTTTTCTTCCAAAAAGCCACAGCAGAGGGGCATCCCAGTTCATTGTAAAACCTCAATCACCACCACCCCCCCCCCCCCGCCCCACAGTATCACTCACTAAAGACATATATAATATTTTTTTATGTATGGATTGGAGATTGGATAACATCAACACAGAATTGTCTTCAATACTGCTAGGGCATATGCTGAAGTTAATCATGTACAGCCCTGAAACACTGGTCTTCCACACATTTCTCTGACAGATGTACAAACTTCAGTTTGACGTATCACTAAACCTATAGGCCTCAAAAGGACAAAAAGTTGCCCAGATCTGTTGCTGTGGTTCACTGTTAGTGCTGCTATCTCTGTATAGCTGCACAGATTACTAAATGAAATCACTCTCTTCAGAACAGCTTCCAGTTATTATTGTCTGAAGGTTCAGCCAATAAGCTTAACTGCACTTGTGTTGATGGAGTTAAACAGCTCTGAGTTCTTTTGAGGACAAGAAAATCTGTATTTCCAAATTCAGAAGCAGGCTTTAAAAGAAAGAGAGTATTCTGACTCATCCATTGATAATTCCATTCATGCATTAGATGACAAAGATGACTGCTGTTTTCAGTTCTTGTATTTCTCTCAAAACTATGATCTCATGAAAGCCTGCGGCTAAGATTCTGCACCTTGCATGTTCTACCACGTAGGCCTCACACTGAAAAAAGATCTGGCTTTTTACTTTCACTGACAATATCCTGTCTTACACTCCAGACTGGGCTGCAAGCAACATTTCCATGCAACACAAGGCAAAAAGAATAAAGATACAGCAGTGAAGTCTCTAGAACTGTCATTCATGAAGTCTCCTAATTGTTTTAATATATACTTGTGCCCTACAATATTTTGCAAGTTTTCCTGTATTTTACACATGCTAGTAATAGATATCAAGATTCAACACGCTTTTTAAGTGCGTACTGTCTAACTAAATTACCAGCTGGCAAGAAGTGCCTAGGAACTGTACCTGCCATTATTTACATTTTCCTGCTGCTTGTGTTTGTACCCACAAAAATATCTTCTATATGGGACAAGAAACAAAACCAAAGCATTTTATTATAGAAGTTGCCTGATACATCATGTTAATAATTTACCTTTTTGTTCCCACTCTGTGGTTTGGGGCAATATCAATTGTGTCTGTAGCTGAATCATGCCTAACTGCCAGTCCTAGGTCTGCAATGCAGCATGTTCCGTTCTTTTTTACCAATATATTTTTTGATTTCAAATCTCTGTGGGCAATCGCTGGTTTGCCTGTAAGGGGGAAAAAAAACCACATCTGTAAAAAAGAGAATTGCTTTTATTCTAAGCCTCATGCAGATTTTGTTTGAAGTTACAAAATTCCTTCCAGTTCTGCTGCTTTCTGTGCATCAAGGTAACTCCTGAAATCAATCATTGTGGACTGGCTGGCTGTCCAAAGTACCTTAAATGTCTACCATATTACTCTGCTCTACTGCTCCTTTCTCTCTTCCTGCAAGTATTTATTGCATACACATACTATGTGCCACAAAAAGTTTCTAATATCTCTGGAAGTAGATCCATAGTGCTGTCTCAAATAAAAGTTAAGATGATACTACAGGCAACATTACTTAATACCTTTTAATAGCTGTTTTGTAGGAAGGATTGTTACATCACAAAACCTGGATATACCACAGAAAGGAACGTAAAAAAACCCTTCCAAATAAAGAAGTTCATTAGTTCAGAAGTTATCAAAGGTCTCAAACAGACATTTTTCAATTCAGTCAGCTCCACAAGGGATTAACTTGTACATCTGCTGAGTTCAGCTGCCTTCTCATCACATAAGTAGCTATGTGCAAAGCAACTACACCCTGAAAAGGCTGAATTAAGAGAATTATAGTAGAAAGAACTATATATATGTAATTTTTAGAGACTACAGTATTACCCACATGACAGGTTGAATAGTTGTAAGATTACCTTGCGTGCCAACAATTTCCATGTGAAGATGAGCAAGACCACTGGCAGTAGACAAAGCTAATTTTATCATTCCTTCAACTGTTACTGTATACCTGTTCAGGTAATCAAAGAGTGATCCATGCTCATGATAGTCTGACACCAACCACAGCTGAGTCCATGTGCCATTGTCTGCAAAATAACACTGGCGTGAATACCACACATACACACACAAGAGACAAGCAAACAATATATGCCACAAAATATTACACAATGCTTATGAAGTACAAATTACATTTTGCAAGTAGCCTCAGCCAATGAGACTCTTAAATCTTTACTGCTATCCCTGTAACATTTAAATGCTTCTGTTAAGGGCTGGGACTATCACGCAAGACTTTCTGAACAGCTTAGTGAGTATTCTTTTATTTAAACTAAAAGACACATGCCACTATGATTCTGAGGTGAACTATTCAGGGTATTAGCCAGGCCCTCCCTTTCCATAACTTTTCTGCTTGCGAGGAACAGTGCTGAATGCATGATGCAAAACTAATCCTGTCAGTACTGGTCTAGTACAGTATTGTCCAGGCTACCTATAAAAAAAAAAAGGCCTTTCAAGTTTTGCACCCCCGCCTCCTTCAGTGTTCCTATAACCTATCCAGCCTCAGTCTGGGAGACAATTTCCACAGTTACCGGCAGCTGGTGGATTATTTCCTCCTGGAGAAGCAGCTTGCAAGCAGCAACTGGACACATTACTTCAAAAACAAATGCCACCTCTGGTGACCTCTAAGTTGCTGGCCAAAACTGAGGTTTCCAGGAGGCACAAGAGCAAACAGAATGAAAAACACCAATTATGAGAAAACCAGTTTGCTGTATGATTTTTCACTGAAGTATGAAGAACAAGACAAGCCATAATACAGTTGCAGATATCCCAAGGCATACAAATGACAAATAAGAAGGAAATTGTTCACTTTATTAAACTAGTGGATGAAAAATGCCTTGAAGCTTAAGTCAGAGAGAAGACTATTAAAGGAATTCAAATCAAGAGGGGGGCAAAAGCATTTTTTTTTTTTACCTAAGAAGTAGAAACATATCCAGAAAAGAACAATCCTGCCACCAAACGGGTTCTCCAATTTCGTTTTGTTATAAAAGGCACTCTCATGTGGCAGATCTGGTAAGTGTTTTTACAACTAGCTACTTTCATAGAAGAGTCTTTCATCTCTTTAGAAGACTAGTTATCCATAAAAGATTTCAGTTGGACTTCTATCCTGAATTATACAGTCACTATTCCCTAAGAACAAGTGAGAAAACTCAGCACAAGCCAAAGAGATCTCATTATGTGGTAGCCCCTAAGGATTATGAAAATGCATACTCAAGAACTAAATGTGAAGAATAGGAAGGAGAGAAGCAAATTCAGAAGTTAGCTCCTATGATAAACATACTGAAAATTTTTTAGTTTCCAAATACGAGGTTCTTACATTTCCTTCCCCTCCTTCTCCACTCCCTTCAAAGAACACGATTAGCCCAGAAAAGTCAGAGGTACAAAAATGCCCTATCTACAGATTGAGAGACTACCTCTATAGAAGTACTTGTGCTTATATTTAAATAAGCACTTAGGTGGTGATGGGTAAGCTTTTAAGCATCCCTTCTACTTGGATGTCTCTAGGGCCCATGATGCCATTAAAAATAATTTTTAAAAATTATTTAAAAAGCCACCAAATGCTTCAGAGTAGGGAAATAAAAGTCTAATCTACATTCAAACAATTCTCATAATGGAAAGAGAATTCTGCCTTGCTACATTCACAGAATAGCTCAACTAAATCATTAATTTAAACAGGCAAAAGCAATCAGGCAAATGCTCTAACCAGAAAAAAAAAACCTGTTAGAAAGCTGCTATTGCAGTGGGAAGCTTCTTATAATATTCCCACAGAGGTGACTCCTAAGCTTTGTTTTTTTAAAAAGAAAAAGGGAAAATAGAGATTTTTTTTAAAAAAATATCTTAAATTATTTTACAGTTAGGACTGCTGCTTCTTTTGCTACTTCACATATGGCATATGAGCATGAACTCGTAGAACTCAGCATACTATCAAATGTGACTTTTTCCAAAGTCAACTATGGTCCCTGAAAAGTCAATCCAACAATATGAGCTTCACTGAACCAGTTCTACAGAACCATTAGAAACAAGTATGTGTTCACAGGCATATAAAAGGTACTCTCAAACACCTATAGTCAAAGAGCTCCAAAACCAGTAAACAGCATCTGCCATGAAGCTTTCAATCACAGGATTTGCATTATCAGGTAAGAAAAAGTAATTACACTCAGCAGTAATTACATACAGTAGCACAGTCTTCCATGACAAGGTAACCCAATTTATTTAGTTCATATACACACCACGATCAAGAATCTCAAGCAATTTCAGAATGTTCAAGAACATTAAAAACTTGCATATATTCTTGGAAACCTATTTAAGAGATTAGTTATGGTTATTTAATCTGTTTGCAAGAAACCTGAAAGTATTATAGACCATCAAAAATCACTCAGAAGTAAAAGGTTTTTCTTCTGGTGTTCCAACAAGATTTTAAATTCTGAGTAAAGCAGCTTTCAGATGTGTTTTTAGAAGACCGATTACAGTTTGAGAAAAACATTAGTGAAGTCCAAGCAACATCCATCTTAGACAAGCTGCCTCTTGAAGAAAGGAATTTATCACAATTGCTTCATCAAATATATAATCAAGTGAATTCAGCCTTAATTGAAACTTAAGTGAAAAATGCTTTTTTCACATTGGTACTAGCAAACCAAAAATTTGGACTTGGCACATGCTTGTTTTTAAACCAAATACCAGGTCTTAAGGTGTGATAGTATTGCTTGGTAGAAGAGTTTTGAACAGCAGACTTACGTTCCAAGATGAATGTTTAAAAGAAGTTACAGAAACTGCCTAATTGCATGTGTTCTCTAGTGTCATGTAGTAAAGTGTTTCAAAGCAGACAGTGGGATACATTAGCCTTTTTTGCCATGCAGATCATGTAACAGAAAAAACAGAAGAAAAAGCAGTGAAAAGATCAGATACAGATGGGACCTATAACTAGAAAACTCTTAGAAAGGAGATATTCAGGGAGATGTCAGGGAAAACACCTTTGTCTGTGGCTGGAAGACAACCAGTATTTTGTTAGTGAAACAGCTTGACTCTATCACATCAAGACAGTCATCTGATTAAGTTGATGTAAAGCACTTGAGCAGTGTAGATTAGCAAGATCTTCCAGTCAAATTCCTTCTTCTCAGGCTAAAGTCAGAGCTTCAAAAAGAATAAATGGCTCAAATACTACTTTTCCCAAGAGGAAGGAATTCTGCTCCTTTCTCTGCAGCATATCGCCTAACATCATTCTTGGGGATCTTCTTACCATGTAAGGTAGTCTGACTGAACAAAAAACTTTCACCTAGGGAAGTACAGCTTTCAATTAAGGGGAAGGAACGGAGAGACTAAAGTGTTTTAGTGCATAAAGTTATCTGAAAGCACGCAGTACAAGACTTCACCTTACTTGTAACATGACTACAGACAGTTATGGCTACAGACAGCTAATCCAGGGAAACCTTTAGTACTGTAAGCAGAGGTAGCTGCCACTGCTCTTCTGCTAGTAGAACAGTGCACATAAGTAGTCCCTGATACACTTCACAATTAAGTAACTAGGTTAGAAAGAACCAAACAAAAAAATCCACCCAGAAACCAAACTATCTGTTTAGGTAGTTCAAAACAAGGCAACACATGGCCCAGAAAGTAATTTCCCTGACCTAGCAGTATTTGAAAGTTAGCATATACTCCTGGCTAAGTAAAAAGCTACCCAGAACGCAAATATGCTAGCCAGACAGAACACAACTGCAGTTAAAATCATTCAGTGCTTCTCAGTCTTCAAGCTGGCTTAACAGCAGCACCTATTTCCCAGTAAATTTGGGGATGGGAAAGCAGACAGGTTGGACCAGCTCCTGTAACCTTCTGAACACCATACAGCTGTGGGGAAGCAGAGAAGGAGAATGTGCCATTAAGGCATGTGGAATGTCTAAACAGTGTAGTAGAACAAGGAGTGAAGACAAATAGTTCAGTCACAGGTTTTATGACTCCACCATCCGAGCTGAATGCCACTGACTTAGCTGATCTATCTGCGCTTGTAAACACTTTCTAATCTATACATGTGCCCTTCTACCTGAAGGCACTTCCTTAATTTTATAACTACAACGGCCAGCCAGATGTTCCCCAGTAGTTGTGTTAAGAGAGACCTAATTAATGCCTTTACTAGTAGCTAGAATTGCAGCATGACACTGGCCCACATTTACACTACCAACCACGTTTCAGGAGATATGAGTCCTCAGCATTTGTGATAGATACACAAGAACCCACTCCCAAGAATTCTTTTCCATGTATCACTGAAGATTTCAGTGAGCACTGAATTGGGATTGCACAAGGAATTCCTTGTGCTGCTATCATAGTCATCTTTGCAAGTTCAGACAGTCAGATTCTTACAGTCTAATGACTTTGTGCATTCCAGCTAGGCTGTAGTAACTCCTGAACGCATTCAGTCCACCCTATATAGAAATGGATGCAAAACCTTCACTACTATTATTGCTGTGAGCCAATACTTCATCTTGCAGCTGGCACCCAATAAGCCTTTATCAGTTAGCACCGGCACCTACTGGTGTTTTTAAGCCATTGGTCTCTAAAGCCATGTTGTGATACACTCGCTCCTTCTAGACTACCGTGATAGTTCTTCCAGTTTAGCCGGTCTGCCATCTCCATAACAGCCCCTCCATGTTCTTCCATTCAATGGGATACAGGTGGCCTGAAGTATTCTAAACAAGAGTTGAAGAATTAACCTCCTTCAGCATTCAGGACTTCTACATGCTTAACCCAGAAAGAATGGTGCATATGTATTTCCTCACTGAGAGACTGCAGAAGGTTATACTGAGAATTCTGCATTGGCGAGTTAAAAATAATAATCCAGTTTTCCACCTCTGCTGAGACAGAAACACTGTTAGAAAATAGAGTCAAGAATAGCAGCATTTTCAACACATCTTTATCCATTTTTCATAAACCAATTACCAACTAGTTCTCAGGAAAACAGAAGAGCCTTGCCCTAAAGCCTTAAAGCCTCAAGTAACAACACGATCTATCAACTAAGGATTTTTTCTTTGTATGTACAGCATATTAACAATAGAAACCAGGTACAATGTTATATCACATTATATTATATTACAAGGAACATAACGATAACCAAGTCAAATGGAATTCCAACCTATTGCATCTGGAATCTGAGCTAGCAATCAGGAAATTATTTCAGGAACCCACTCATTTAGGAAACCTTCTTCATACCTCCTCTGCACAGCAGTCAAATGTATTTTTCAGACAACCTGTCTATGGGTTTGGGGCAAAATGGGAGACAGGTATACTTAACCACAGTTAGATTTTGTTAAAAGTTACAGCTAAAGTATTGCAATATATCCTTTATGCTTTTAAGTGAGACAGTACCTAAGGCTTCTGCAGAGATGGATTTTCATTTATGTCTTTAATGCAACTGATCTACTAATTTTAAACCCAGGTTCCAGATACTCCAGTAGGTCTATCAGAACAAATCCAAGCTCTCGCAGGTGCTATTAATATCCAGTACAACTTTAGGCATAAAAGTAAGACAGTTTCTAATGGTAAGCATAATAAGCTGCAGGAAAAAGTTGCCTGGTATGCTGTAGGTCTGCAAGCTCTTGGGAGGTGAACAAGCTGCACAAACATCTATTGGGAGCAAGTTAGCTATAGGTAACCCTTTCCTGGAAGAGGGAAGTGTTCTGCATAACCTCTTGGGTTCTGTTCCTATTTTACAGATTTATATAGATATAGAAACTTGAAATTAATCTAGTGATAATTAAACAGAGCTCTATTTACACATATACTTCAACTACACTAAAACCATTTAGGAATTTCTCACAAAACCAAAAGCCCTTTAAGAATCCAGGCTGTCTGTGGATTCTTGACTCCTCCCTAAGGTGACAGAATTTGCTGTTAATGCTTTCTTCACAAAAAAGTCAAAGGCCATTTGTGGCGAAACATGTAACTTCAGATTAAAATAACTGAATGAAACAGCATAATGTTTTAGCTCCCCTTAATGTAAGAAAATAAAAATTTTTGTGTCTTAAATTGGACTGCAGAAAAACCCAAGAAACTTTCATCTGACTGAAAGCACAACAAATGAAGTTGGAAAAACAGTTAAACTGTTCCTCGTAGTAGATACTTAAAGGGCTTATCAGGAAAGCTTCAGGAAACAGGTACAGTTTTCTAATACTAGGAACAAATTATTAATAGTGTTTTTCTGTTTTCTTTTCTAACTGGAGTTCTAAATGAGTAACTTCTCATATCTTAGCCTTAAAAATGAATCCTCTACCTCCTACCTTATATTAGGACAACAGGATTAGACATGATCTCTTCTGGTCCCACACATCTATCTTACTAGCCCATTAGGGAATTCAGCAGATGTGTGGGCTGAGAGGATAAGGCACCTCCTTTTTGATACAAAACTCAGCTAGTGTTTTAACTTGCTTGTAGAAATTACACTTCACTAAATATCCAATACATTTTTTTTTTTAAGATTTAAACAAAGCATATTTTCCAGAAAAAGGAAAATGCACTTTTTTTCCTTGATTAAACCTATGAAAAGCCTGCCAAACCCTGAAACACTCTAGTAACAACATTATTTTTTACTGCTCTTAATTGGTTCCTCACAACTTTATATTTTCCCCCTCCATTCACCATCTATTCTGACCAGGTACAGAATCAGCAAAATGAATTCATAGTATCACTAACCTTTGTTGTCTGCAGCTATAAATCCAAGAATGTTTTCATGTCGTAGCATAACTGTTTGATAAATTTCTGCTTCACGAAACCATGAGCGTTCCTCTCTTGAAGAGAAGATCTTCACAGCAACTTCTTCTCCTCTCCACTTCCCTCGCCAGACTTCTCCAAAGCGACCCTTACCAATGCTTTCTTGAAGTACTATAGTTCTTGCAATTGTTCTTTGCACAAGTAAAGGTAAGCCTAAAAAGAAGATTTAACATTAACCTTAAACATCACTATACACAATAACAACTTCTAATAAGTACTAAACATAAGATCCGTATTCCATTAAGATATATCTCTTAGAATGCACATAAACTCTCTTCAGATTTTAACAGCTTGTTCTGAACTACTAACAAGCATGCAGGTAAGATGTTGCCTTCAACCTTAAAGGTCTGCAAAACAAGTACTCAGACACTATGCCAAACTGCCTCTACAGTTGTTAAAAAGAAGGCACAAACGTCCTTTCAGTTTAGAATTTTGACAGTCATTGAGCCATAGAGTTTTATTTTAATGAAAAAGAAGAAACAAATCATGAAGCAAACAGGACCAAGATTGAGCAAGATTTTTTGTGTTGTGTTGGTTTTTTTTTTGTTTTGGATGTGGTGGTTTGGTTTTTGTTTGTTTTTTTGGTTTTTTTTTGGTTTTTTTTTTTTTTTACAAATCTGCCCATAACTCTCCTGGAAAAGCACTGCAAGAGCACTTTTGCCACCAATTCATTTACTTGATTTATCCCTAGATAAGACTCTGTATTTTTAAGTTAAAACATGCTTATCAGCAACACTGACTGTCAAAAGTTCACACTCATGCCCAAGTATGCCCATAGCCTGTTAGTACTCTCAAACCACTGTAAAAATAGGAAAACATCCTTGTAACACAAGCTTCCCATTTTACAGGCCACTCTCGTGCCCCTCACTATAATTACGCTTGAGAAAAATCCTTACATTGATGAAGGTTTTATAGCTTCAGAACATCTATGTGCTCTCAACTCACAGCACCTCATAGCGTGTTTCAGTAAGTTTATACAATCAAGCACTGGCATCCCCCAGTCAGGGTGGGGTTTTGTTTATTTTAAATCTTTCCTGCTGTAACTGCAAGGCTTGCCGCAGAATTCTGCGGTGATACTACGCTGCAGGATGAACGCATCAGCCAGGTTATCTGCTCACAATAAGCTCTTCTGGTATAGGATTATTTCATTTAAATCTAACACTTTAAGAAGTAATCTATTACTCCATAATCACTGTTCCAATAGTTGATAGAAGAACATCTGTACTTCCTTATGCTATAGAAAATAAATCCCAACTAACAGCTCAAATAACTAGTTCCTGTCCATTTCTGGGTGTTCTTTGCTAATACAGCACCAGAAGGACATCTGACCTGGTCAGCAGCATTGCCGTGCTTGTGTCTCAGTCTGAGGAGTGCAAATTAGAATACTGCAGTATTCAGAAGAGTTTCTCAAGACTTCCAGACCTACAGCAATTTTCTGCATCATCTGTGCTGACAATATACCTACTTCAAGAAAGGAAGGTGAAAGAGTGGGCCACCGTACCAGTGATTTAATCATTGTCAGGTGCTGCAGTAACTCCTACTGTGAAAGTTAAAATTTTTGCTGTAATAGCTGTGCTCAGGTCATTTGTGCTGTGTGCCCAAACTATAAAGGCTTGTCTGTAAAGCCTAAGTTGCATTCTTTACAAACTTTTGAAATGCAGAAGAGGCCAGACTAGAACAACAATACAGGACCAAACTCAACCCTGAAAATGTAAAATTTAACTTTGTTGGCCAGAGAAAGCTTCCTCCTTAGCACTTATGTACTACTGCAAAATCCACTGGCAGATGTTAAAATGCAAGCTGATTTTGTATACTTGAAATGGGCAATATGCCTAATATTTTCTTTTTCCTACAGCTGTTTCAGAAAAGTGTTTGTACAGTTTCAAATGCACTGCTCTCAATTTGCTGTACCATTTATAAACATCCCTTGTCATTTAAAAAAGATGTCCAAGGATATCAGCTAACCTCTGAACAGATACTAAGCTCTAAACCCTCCAGACATGAAGGATTTCAATTTCACATTACAAACCCCCAATCATCACATTAACATGTCACAGTACAATAAAAACCCTGCTAACTGTGATCCTTGCTCCTATACTTATTTTTACAATATTTACAAGATTCAACTTGCTTCTGCTTTTTTTGCAACTGTGCTTTCTCTTATTACTGCTGCTGAAGAAGACAAGATTAGAATCCATATTTATCCTACACCCGTAAGAATTCCTTAGATTTTTTTTTTTGCAACTGAGCAGTCTCCTCTTTCTGCCACAGAGGAAAGACAGCCCTGCATCGCCAGGAACTTGAGTAACTGCTTTACTGTAAACCAGACTGCCTGAAAAGTAGCTCACTGGAGATACCTACGACGTCAGCCTTTGACATACACATTAGGCACTACTGTACTTCATGCTCTTGGAGTACAGCTTCTTTTAACTGTGCACGAACAAAGATGACAGCCAGTTTGCTAATCAGGAGGATGAGAAAAATTCAAGCCCATGTTAAATTCAACAGCAGCTTATAACATTTGGCATCCTGTGTTCAGCCATGGTCACCCAATTTATCCCTGGACCCTTCACCATCATAACAAAAGTATCCTCAAGCCTTATGAGAGTTTAAGAAAAGAGTTCTTTTCCTTTTCTATATCTTAATTATACTCTGATTAGTTTAGACCAATAACTGTCCAATGCATAAGAAGTTTGTACCCGATTTGGATAAATCGGGAATTAAGTTCTAAAGCACTAGAGATAGTCAAAAAAAGCAGCTGCAAGAACTTCGTTCTTGTTCATGTTCTTGTGCGTAAGTCTCTGCCCAGATGAATTCCTCTGAAAAGTAATTAAAAAAACAACACCATGAGCTGTGAAAAATCTCATTCCCTTCAAGCTTCCATGAACCGCAGATAAGTTTTTAAGGAGTTTTACATTCACTTCAACTGACTTGACTTTACATCGATTTTTTGGTGACCATTTGCATTTCTAAACACTTTTAAGTTCCTGCTTCAAGTCACCTACCATAACAACCAAAGCTTCTGTTTTAGCCAATTGTTCCTATTTCCTCGCACCTAAGTTACTCTGTCATTTGTGAGTTGGAGAGGAACAGCTGGGCATCCCAATCTGTCTACACAACATGTAGTCAATATTTAGAGATTTGCATTATGATCTGGAAATAATTCTCAGCTCCAAGAGACTTTGAAATCCTTCTCTTAGAAGCTGCAGCTTCAGCAGAAGGATCTATTTTAGATGGTCCATCAATTCATCAAACCTCCAGCTGTTTCAGGTCTTGTCCGTCATGGAACAACACTGCAATACTAACAGAAGTCAAGACTGAATAATTAATAACAGCTTACTATTCATCATTGCAGAAGATGAACTGTACTTCCCTTTTCATCTGAGTAGAAAGCTAATTTTTGGAGTTTTGATCACTTCTGTTTTATATGTATTCTCTGAAGAGAATACCATAATACAAAACTGGTAGAATCCTTTTTATTTGACTACAAGCTCTTTTGGTCCCTCAGCATGAAATTAAGAGCAGAACATGTACTTTAGGTCACCAGACTAGACACTTCCTTAGCTGTGCCTCTTAGGTCCAGATTTCCATTGTGTTTCTTGCAACCTCTCATTCCAACAGCTTCCCTTTCACACAGTACAGTTTCTGACAGGCTTAAGTACTATTTTAACTAGCAGCTCTGACTTTTCTCCCTCCAGTGACACTGTTCCCCACCCCCAGTTTATTCCATAAATGCACAGTCTTTTCTATTTTACATGAACTGTACCAAAGTCTGGATTAAAATACACACTACAGTGAGATTCAATTGGTGCACATGTATTTCAGGGCACAAGAAAATCACCAGTTCAAGTGCTAGGGCACTGTCAATTTATATAGTCATTGACCAATGTTTAGATGAAGTGATACAAATCACTGCAAATATATACACTGCCAACAGTACAGAAAACAAGTACTTGAAGCACCTCCTATCCCACTGTCATAATAAAAGGCAAGTATAGAACACTAAATAAGGCTAATACTTGTCTTAAACAGCTGAACAACATGAAACCCACTGCAGCTGAAGTTAAAAGATCACTCTTAAGGAAACATTCAGTCTTCTTTTACAGGGAAAAAGACTTTGCCTTTCAAACATAAAAACCAACTAGTGAAGAGCTTTCCTTAGAGGAGAGTCAAATCCAACCATATTTGTTGGTTTTCTTCCTCTGATGCAGCCATCAGTAGCCAGTGCTCAAATACTATAGTAGGTCAGGTGCTCTGGGAGTCTAGACCAGCTTGAATGTCCTGAAGCTCTGAAAACTAAGTTAATCCCCCAGCATACTGCTTTTACTTTAAGTGTAATTTGCAAATAGGCAAGGGAGGAGTCAGTAGTTTCTAACCATTTGCTCTGGAGGAAGAATCCTAAGTTTCTTCTAACTGGGATTCCCTGCTTTTCAAGAGCTTATTTTGAAGAAGTACTTCCAAAGTTTTCAAACATGGGAAGAAGGCCAGAAGGAAAATGAAGGAATATTCCTGATAACAAATGGAAAGACCAACTAAGTCTGAATCAACATTATCGTAGGCCTGACTTCTGATCTAAAGAAGAGTGGGAAAACAGCCATGCAGAAAGTGGCAGAAGTGCTGTGATTATCCACAGATGTTAAAAGAGAACTATCAGCCAGACAGCACTTTAAAACAAGTACCACTCCACACAGTTTCAACAGAAAACTTGGGTTTTGTTACAATTTTTTTCAACATTTGCATTAATCAAGTTCTAGCCCAATATATTGGAAGTTCTTCATTATTTGATTTAGTTACTGTTAGTAAATGAGAAAATTGAGATAAACGCAAGCTACTAAAGCTCCAGTTCTAACCACAGAGCAGCTTACCCTTTCATGATCAAATCTTACTTGGACACATGAGAACTTTCACAACTGAAACGAAACTGCCTACACACTTGGTGCAACCTCACCTTCTTCAGTGAAGATATGACTACAGATGACTTATTTTGACCTATATTCCAAACATGTTCAGCAAGTTACACTGATTTTACTGGCTAGAGCAATGGATTCTAAACAGTTTTACCAGTTACTGCCCTTGGGAAAGAAACATAACCTAGATGCTTGGGTTGTTATAATTTTTTTCAATTCTGGGAAATTAAAGAATTCAGCAGTTGAGAATCAAACACCAGTATTTCTTTGCAGAAAGTACTCTGAAAGGGCATGGGTGTTTCAGCAGATGCATTTGCAAGTTGTAGGAATAATTTGCAGTATTAAGTTATTTAAAGTTTTTAATAGTAGAAGGCTGATAAGAGGTTGCAGTACACAATCTGATGTCTCACTCCTTAACAGGGACCAGAGATGAATTAATTCATACAATGATTTATTTGACACATCAACCCCTATAAAACTGTATTTCTGTGACAGACCACCACAATCCTCTAAGCAACTATGTCAGGATTATGACAGCAGAGACTATATGCAGTGAACAGACTACTACCTCATCTTCCCAGCACAATATCTGTTAAAATCAGAATTAAAACAAAAGTTTGTGAAATCAAGGGACAGAAATTCTTCAGCTGTGGTCTGCATACTGCATCCATTCTATACTCAGAAACAGCTATTTGGAATGGAACCAATATCTTCTGTAAGGAGAGAACTGGCTAAAATATTAACTCAGAATATTCTTCATATATCAATAGCTACAGATATAAATGAATTTTCAGTTTAAAACTAAAGAAAAAAATTCACAAGTTCTCAAAAGCACAGAAGATAATTTAGATATGCTGTGCAAAACAAAAAAGTAAAATGACTGAGCCTTACTAACAGAGGAAACAAACCATTTACAATAGCTGACTGTGATATTCCCTGCATATCAGACTGTACTCTCAGAATGATGAAGAACAGTAGCAGCAACTCAGTGGTTTTTTATTTCACTTATTTCCATATGTTGAATCCTCACTGATATTGAATGAATCTACATGGAAGTAGCTTTTCTAGTAATTTCTCTAGTTAATTATAAGTTTAAGTAGATTTGACAATATTAAAAAAATTTGATGCCTTACAAGGCTCTTAAACACAGAGTAAATACTGCTAGAAGTGTGACATTACCTGACCCAGAGCCTGAAGTTGTCATATCATAAATTAAATCCTTTAAAGTAGTTCCTTCCGATATAAAGGGACGATCCAGTGAGGGATCTTCTTCACTTGGCACACGATGATGAATTACAGTACGATTATGACAAAGATATAGAATCAACATTAGTGAAATGCAGACAAAGCAGACAGGTCCAGCAATGACAGCAGCCAGTTCCACAGGTCCTAGATTAGAAGCTGGTTTTCCTGGAGTAGGGCCTGACAGCAAAAATAAAAGAAAATGGTAAAACTACTTCTTTCTTTTTATGAAACTAAATTTATTGTATTTCACAGTGCTCTTCAAATCATTTCAATGTATTTGTTAAAACTTCTGCACAGCAACTTTTTCAAGAATCAAAATAAGTATTACAAAGGACAAAAGCAACTGTGCTTTATTCACAGTTTCCATTTAACTTGCATAGAAGTCTTCAAAACTGGCCCTAACATCCCTATGCAAAAAGTTTAATTTCTTGTTCCGAATCTCCAGAAATTTTATTTGCAGAATCCAAGGTGTACTATAGGCCTTCAAATTCACCTACAACTTCAAAGCTTCTGCTCTTACAGAATTTCCTGTTTAAAAAAAATTGGAAAAAAAAAATCAAGTGTGTCAAAAAATCCTTACCTGGTGTTGGAATTGGAAGTTCTATTTTATTGCAGTGGTCTCTGTCACAGCAATAAGGCACAGTAACAACTCCATCTCTGGCGGAGGTGGCACAAACAAATGGCCTGTCTCGGGGAATCAGATCTATTTCTGCTATGCACATACTATTGTGTATGACTTTGTCTGCAGTTCGTGTTACTGAGGTAAAACACAGCCCATCTGTCACACATGTAAAGTTGTCTTTTGTACATAGATGACAGTAACACTGTAATGCTGTATTGAGAAAAAAACATTAATGTTAGTATTGGTACATATTCCGAGTTGAGAAACAACTTGAATGACTAAAGAAATAAAAGTTGAAAACACTAGGAGGCCTATAATCTTTTTGGTTACATAAACACAGAACTGTAACACTAAGAACAACACTACAAGGCTTTTTAGTGGGACAACAAAAAAATTAGGAGATGAGCAGATGAAAGAAAGTCAAATTAAAAGCTGAAGTAATCTCTCCTTATACAATTACATATTAAAAGAGAAAGGCTGCAATCCAACATGTTCCTCCAGGTAAAGAAGTTCCATTACAGTTCCTCATACTAAAGATCTAGATGTTTTAATAACACTGTATCCTCTACAGCATGCAATTCTGCTATTTTCACACCAAATACAAATAATGCCATTTTTTTCCACAATAACCATGGGGATAGCTTTAGTAAGTGACAAAAAGGGTGCTGCTCACTACCCAAGGTTAATACTTAATCCATTACCTGATGGCTTAAGTTTTGCACCAAGGGCATATAAAGGCTTAATCCTCATTAAAAACAAACCCTGAACGACCTGAGAACACACCCTTTCACACAAGCAGAATATAGTTTACATTTGCTATTTATGAAGCTACAGGAAAACATTGCCTTACATTACTCAAGTTCCTGGTTTACTAAAGCTATCCGTTGCACTAATAAAGGAGAGGGCATGGGGAGGGAAGCAGGAGTGACAGACTAATCATGTCTAGAGATGATCAGGTTTCATTCTTTAAATTGCAGAAGTTCTTGAAGAAGGAAGACTAATACTTCAAATTTCCTTTTCCATTCCTTCCTGCATTTACAGGACCAAAGTCAGACAGAAAACAGTGCAGTAGCAACAACAAAAATATCAATAAGCTCTAACTCCACTTGTTCATCTGTGAGGAGCAAAAGCTAGCACAGAACTTGTATACATGCTTGCAGAAAGACTAAAATACAGAAATTTAGACAAATTTATAATCTTAAACGTTCATGCCCAAAACACAAAAATGCACTAAGCTATAAACAAGCCTCTTTCAAGAGTAGATACAAAATCTCACACCAAAGGTGTGAGGATTAACAGGTGACAGAGCAAAAGCTGTCACAAGATCTGAAATTTGACGTTTCCCTTAAATTCAAGAGTTTTAAGATAACCACCTGAATTGCCTTGGATTTTACACCCCTCTCTATCATTGCATATCATGGATTTAAATAAATGGCGATCTGATCTCTAATACATATTCCATCTCAAAATCTTGATTCAGAGTTGTATCCATTTCTCTGAAAATACCTCCTTCCCCCAAGATTCTGAATCAAACCAAATTATTGCCAATCAATCTCTACTGCTACAATAAAGATATAAAGTCCTTAGGATCCACTACAGAAAGATAACCCATGTTTCAGAGAGTCACCAGCCCACTCAGAAAAAGAGAGAAAAACATGAATGGGATTGCAAAATTCTTTGTTTAGTATGAAGATTATTGAAAAAATAATTAGAAGGTATATGAAATGAGAACTGGCACAGGGGAAGGTAAAGCTTCTTAACAGTACCACTTTTTGAAGATGCAATTCTGCATCTCCCATTAGAAAAGTAAGGAAAGTCTTATTATTCGGAGTTTAACTATAAGAACATTCAATAGTTATTTTCTGTTGGTATATCTTCAGTAATTTACACTTGAACAATTTTTTTTTAACCCTTTAAAATTTTCCTAAAATATTCACACATTGATATTGCCTTCGACTTTCTTAACAAGCAGGCCTTTATCTCACTTGCTTCATCCATGACTTTTTTCCTCCTATTTAAATAATATTCTTGGCTCATCGTAACTGTGCATGCATCTGAATGCCTCAGTAAGAGACAGATATTCAGCAAGACGTATTGACATTGAGTCACTGTACAGAGGCTGAGTTACTTGAAGTGAAAAGTGAGGTTTGGGTTGACCTTGCTATACTTACTCATCTTCCTGATCTTGTGAAGTTAGAGACACACTGATACCACTACGACTAAATAAAGCATTCGATGTCTTACCTTCCTCATGCATTTTGTTCCCAACTCTCTTTTGCTACAGAATTCCCAACCAGTGAGATTTGATACATTTTATACTTTTGTTCCAGTTTGATGCCGCTATCTTCTGGTCTCCTGCCGAGACACAGTACACCCTCACACACAACGAAATGGTTTCCCTGGCACAGACACATCGCTACTTCCTTCTGAAGCTACTCTCCCCCATCCCTTAAAAGTAGAAAACAATGTCTCATCAGGTGAATAGCCAAAGCTTCTAGGAATACAGGGGTCTGCTGCTCTCTAGTGGACACACTCTTAAAAAAACCCCCACATTAAAAATACTTCAGCCCTCTTTCTACTCTTGCCACTTACAATTCTTCATGCCTTCCAAACTCGAGTGGCTAACAGTGAGTTTCCATATTTTACTAACAGGAAAACTAATTCAGCATCTTCAGCAACAACCCGTACCAGGAGGAGAGGAAACGAAACTGGAATATCCTTGCCCATGTCTCGCTCTCCAGTTATCTAGGCGTAAAAGAACAAAGACTATGACTATATGAATGCATTGTAGATGAGATTTAACATCAGTGAGGTGAGGAGATGTCAGTGACCAAGTGTAATTAAATCACTCCATTCCTATAAGGAAGTGTTTTCACTTATAACTGATCTCAAAGAAAAAAAAATCATACTGTTGTCCTCTTGGAGATACAAATTTTTGCTTTGTCTCCAAGTAGTCCATATTCTTCTCAGAGAAGCATTACAGTAATTTTAAAAAACCTCAGACAGAAATCAGTCAGGTCTCCAAGTTCACTTAAATGAACACATACATTTCTAGAATGGGTTGATAACAGTATGCAAGGAGAGAATGACAACTCTGATGTAAGCTAATCTTCCAAAGCCAGTAACATCTTCCAGGTGTAATGCATTTCAATACATTTGGAAAATACCCTTTAAATCTACTACCACAAAAAAAGCTCATTCTAAACTACCAAACTCAAAGAGGAGAAAAGAAAATTTTTAACTCAAGTCTCAGTCCATGTTTTCCATGGCAGAGAATTTTTTTTTTTTTTTAAAGTATTACAACAGCATTTGGATGGAACGATGAGCATGAAGCTCCACTACCAACAAATGAAAGGTCATGTCTGTTTAAGCAATACGAGCCTTGGGAAATTAAAGTACAGACAGCTAAATGGATGTAATGAAGGTTATGTAGACAACCAGTGACAAAACCAAGAACAGACATTGGGTCACCATAGTAATTTAGTGCCTCACTGCCCCATGACCACTCTACATAATCATTCTTGCTTTATGTGACTGACTACCGTAACAGAACACAGTCAGTCAATGCAGTTACAGAAGCACGTGTGTGCGCATTATGTCACATACCATGTCACAGAAGTTATCAACAGCATAATTCTAATACCTCAATCTGATTTAATAATAGATTAACCTCTTCTGTGGAATACAATTACTTGGGTAACTTCTCAGGCTCAGACTCTCAGTTTGACAGTTTTGTATTCCCTTTTAAAGATCTCTCTGCCATGGGTGTTGCAGCCTGGAAAGCCCACCGTGAGGGTAAAGCAAGCTGGCAACATAAATGAGACACTGAAGCTACACATCTTGACAAGACTTAAAACAAGTCAGTTCCCAAGCGCTCAGATTATTAATACTACATACAAACGTGAACAGGAAATTAAGTACACCCTATCCACTTAACTTTTGGAAGTCTGTACCATTAGGTATCTATCAAAACAGTCTTTTTTTGTATCCGTTGTCTTTCTGAAGTAAGAAAGTCGCACAAAGCCTTTCTTTTTAGAATTGCATAAAACCCTATGAATCGCTATATCGTATTTGCTGACATCCAGCAGAACTATTTCAACCAGACAATTTAACACAGAACACCACCTTCAGCCAAAGAATTTTTAGTTGGAAATCATATGTTGAAATACTTTCAAAGGATGTTAAAGGGTATTACAGCAGTTAAAACTTGGGAGGTGCTCTAAAAAACCCCCAAACTCATATCTCATTATGAGTAATTAACAATTTTATATTATTAATACTTTTGTTTATTTAATCATACATCTTCGTGTTACAAATTTAGAAAAGACTAATAGTCTTAGGCCCTTAACAACAGTATTATGCTGAAGAAGAAACTCCACATCCTTCTTTTGTGACATTCTAACTATTCTCCCATGGAAACCACAATTTTTGAAACAAACATTTCACCAGAAGAACAATCAGGACTCTTGGTTCCACAAGATGTAGAGTTTCAAGGGATAAAGCAGTAAGGCTATGATGTGCAAGAGACAGTAACAGATTCTGGGGAAGTAAGAAGGCTGTAGTGTTTAGTGGTAGTTTTTTCCCTATCCAATACAATTTGCCAGAAGCAAAAAAGCATATTATAGAAAGGCGCTGCCAGCTTCCTATTCTCTTACTCAGATAATCTCCTCAAACAATACACCTGACTCATCTCTGAACTCTTCTAGCTCAATATACAAAAAAGTTTAGATCTTAGAATACCTGGGACATGGGTACATTTTTTTTTTTTTTAAAACTATGATAATTCATGACCTTCACTAACTCATTCTTCTCACAAAGGCACTAATTAATTTTAACCCTTGTAAAGTAACAGCACTGGATATCAAGTTTTCAGGAGAACCTTCACATACATTTCACCCATCTTCGTTAAGCAAAACTTTCACTGAAAACAGCAGTTTCTGGCAACCAAAGTGATGCACTCAAGAGAACAGACAAACTACTTTATCAAGATACTATCCTCAACTTGCAAATAATAATAAAGCCTTGTGAAAATTCCCAGCTTCAAAAAAGCAATATTATATTCTCTGTAGTACAAGTGACAAATGACACTATCAGTTTTTTTGCATCTCATCCATAAAGCTACTCACAGATATGTTCATGCCTGTTACAGCAACATGCATTAAAAATGTTTCCTGTATCTTGCATAGAAGAGTATGCTTTAGAAAAACAAAACATTAAATTAAAAGCCTAGGTTATAATTTTATTAATGTTATGAAAATAGAAATAATAAAGTTCACCTTCATTTGTACTTCTAAATTAATTTCAGCATACAAATCAGATTTTCTTCTTTATTTGCGATTAGAAGCAATCATGTGAATGCAAGAGTTTAAGAGGTAACTCCCCAGAATTTTGGAGACCGAAGAGTATGGCTCACACAATAAGGAAAAAAAAAAGAAAAAAAAAGCTATGTTTCAGGAAATCTTACAAATTAGGGCTGTTCTACTACTCAGTTAGCTGCTATGATTCATTACATGCCTGATCTCCATATAAACCAACAAGATAATTAATTTACGCAACTACACTAGTACATTGCAGAACAGCAGCACCAGAAGCAATCAGAAAATGCCTAACTTCTGTCAACCTGTGATAAGAATGCTAAATAACAGTAGCCAAATCATACCTTGCACTTCTTTGTCAGCTTAGACCATAATGTTCAGACAAATTAACCTCTTTACCAGTACCAGGATGCATGTATGAGTTATAGATCAAGAACCCTGGATCCTCCCCCTGTTCCCTTGGATAGGAAGGATTTCTCTTTTCTTTAAAAAAAAGGTAGCACTGCTTCCATCCTTAAGCTTTTGTATGGAAGTCTATTGCCTTGTTTTCACATAAAGCTTTTAGACCTCAATTTCATGACTGAGATTAAGTGAAAACTGTTGATTGATCAGAGACATTAAAAGGGAAAAGTTCAAAGCTCAAATCAAGGTAAAATTTTCTTCAACATCTAAATTGGATGTGTTACATAAGAAAGCTTTAAATTATTAAAGCCTGCTGCATCTTTTCAAGAAGAAGAGAACCACCGTGGGTAACTTAAGCTTATTTCACTGTTTCCACATCAAAGATTCTCCATCCTCTTCAATAAGAATATGGACAATTAACACAGCACTTTAGCATAGCAAGTTACGTTTTCTTTAAGTAATATTTTCTTTACAGCACAAGTACCATCTTAGATTGAATTACGAACAGCACGGTAAAAAAACAGATTAAGGGATGTCTTAAAGCTGCAACTGAAGCAGAAAGTCACGATGCTTCTCCACTTCCTCTTTAAAACCCAAAGCAACATACAATCCACCTACAGAAGAATTTAGGAAGTGGATCAATTATAAAATGCAGATTTTATGTATCTGCCATTATCATCTAACTTACGACAGACAAAACCTAAACTAATCAGAGTAGGGCATCTATAACATTTGAATAGCCCATTAGGACATATGGCCTAAACTGCTAACTGAAGAACAGGCTTTTTTTTTAAAAAAAAAAAAAAGGAAAAATAGATATTTCTTGTATTTCTGAATGCTATCAAGAACTCCCGTTTCATGCATTAGCTCTACAACAGCACAGCTCTGGTACCACACCTCTCTTACAAAGAGAGCATTGGTACAGAAGGCTGGAAGAACAAAACCGTTTTACAGTACAATATTCACCAAAGATTTTTATTTCCGCACGGTTTGGTCCTCACAGAGCATACACGTTAGCTGTTTGACTGTAAGTGAAAGATCACCTACCTACACCACCACCCTACTAGCTTTCAGAGCAGACGCTGCCAGCACACCACAACGTAACGGAGTTAAAGCATCTGACGTGGGAGTTCAGGGAGTCTTTCACGTTCAGGAGGTGGAACATTCAACACGTACCTACACCAGCCATTGTCTCTCCTCCCCCGTGGCACTGTTTGTAAGCTCTCTTCAGCGCACCGAAGGGAGCCCGCAAGGCACGGCGGCTTCTCCCCGGACCGGTGCCGAAGCTGGCACACACCGGGCGCGGGAAGGCACCCCCCCAGGAGGGAA